TATATTGCCCCTCGTATGCGTCTCCAATCGTAGGTTATATATACACATATATCTCTCTCTGTATATATATATATATATATATATATATATGTGTGTGTGTGTGTGTGTGTGTGTGTGTGTGTGTGTGTGTGTGTGTGTGTGTGTGTGTGTGTGTGTAGGCCTCTCCTGAGGCACGAATCACCCCCTGGAGGCCCCAGGAGGCGCCAGTAGGCCGCAGGAGGCCCCAAGAGGTTCCATGAGGCCCAGGGAGGCCTCGGGAGGCCCCAGGAGGCCCCAGGAGCCCTCAGGAGGTCCCAGGAGGCCCCAAGAGCCTTCAGGAAGCCCCAGGAGGCCACAGGAGGCCACAGGAATGGCTCCGACCCCATGTGATTTACACATGCTCCTCTAGATGGGCCTCCCCTGGGGCACGAATCCTTAGTGTTTTACTTGTGTTCCTATCTATTGCCCCTCTCCTGTGGCTCCAATCCTCCTCCGTAGCCATTTTGGCTCAAGCCGTTCTCAGTCTTGCCTCGGCCGCGCCCGCCTCGCGCTCTGCAGCTGAGACTCGCTTGGGGAGATGGCTACGGTCGGCTGCCATGCCGCCCCCGAGGCGGCGGAGCAGCTCCGCGGCATGGAGGCCCTCTCGCTGTGGCCCGCGCGGCGTGCGCGGCGGGCCGCGGCGAGGCAAGCGGCAGACGGGAGGCTGGCGGCTGCCGTTGCGCGCATCGTGGAGCTGGAGGGCGAGCTACGTTGTGCGCGGGCGGCGGCCGCGGCTCCCGCGGTTCCTGCAGCTGCTGACTTCGAGGCCCGTGTCCTGCACGAGGTCGAGCTGCGGCTGCGCTTAATGGCGCCGTGCATCAGCCACGGGGTCAGGGCCGCCATGCACGAGGAGGAGCAGGGGTGCGAGGAGAGCCGAGGGGCCCCCCCTCCTGCTCCCAGCTCGCTGGACGTCGGCAGGCGTAACACGGCGGCCCACCACTTCCGAGTGCAGGCTGCCGACATCGCCAAGATGGGCCAGCAGGAGCTCAACGCGGTGCAGCGCGCGGCGCGCAGGGCTGGCCCCCGCAGGTCTGCTCGGCGTACGCGGCGCGACCGCCCAGGAGGACAGCTACGGCAAGGGCGCGGCGCTGCTGGCCGCGGACGTGCTGATCTTCCTCCTCGCACGGCTGGTGCTGCCCTTCTTCACCGCCGTGTGCCTGCCCAGCGCTCGGCGTCCGAGAGAGTGTCGACGGGCTGGGGCGTGGCCCGCAGGCGCGGGCGCAGCCTTCCCGCTGGCGCTCGCTTCGCGCTTGCTGAGCGCGTGTGCAGTGCTAGCCAGCCTCCCGTGGCCCCCTTGGCGTCTGGGGCGCTGTGGTGGCAAGCTGGCTTCGAGGATGCGGAGGCTAGCGGTGCGGTGGCGCACGAGGACTGCGACGTCGGCGGCTCGGCGGGCATCGACGCTCCTGCTCCTCTGCCTGCTGCGCTTGGTGGTCTTCTTCATCCTCTTCCTGATCTTCTTCCTGGCCCTGGCGAGGCGTGCAGCGCGGTGTGCACTTCTTCTCCTGTCGGCGCGGACCCCAGTATCGTCTCGGACTACCTGATGGCCAACGAAGCTGCCCTCCTCTGCGGGAGCAGCGCGGTTGCCACCAGCGGCACGGACGTCGAGCGGGACACGCAGGAGGACGGCGGCCGAGTACAGGGACAGGACCGCGCTCCCAGCCCTTCTTCGACTTCTCCTCGCCTCGGCGGATTCTACGGCGTCGCGCAGGAGCTCGGTGAGGATGGAGGGGGTGCCGACGGTGTGGACGGCTTCGGCAGCGTGGACGGCGCCTCGGCCACGGCTGCTCCTGCGCGCGGGCCCGTGCGGCTCTTCGCGCTACGCCGCCGCGTCTACGCGGCGACCGTGGCCCTCACGGTCGACCGCGACATCCGGCGACCGGGCTGGCAGTGCGACGGCTGCGACGTCGACCCTCCGGTGCTGTCGGCTTCTGAGGCTGCCGCTGGCCGAGAGTGGCTCCGCTCCCAGTTCGGGCTTGGGTCCCCGTGGCGGGCTTGGGCGAGCAAGGAGCGGAGGCGGCGCCCTCCCGCCTGAGCGGGCCGCGCTGAGGGGCTCGGCATTCGGCCCTCAGATGTCGGCGCGTTCCCTCGGGCGTCTTGAGGACGGGCAAGCGCCTGAGCGAGTGAGGTGGGGAGTGCCTTCGGTGGTCTGGGCCTTTCCAGGCTCGGCACGGGGTGGATGGTGGCTCGCGTGGCCGCCTCACCTGACGGCGCACACCTACGTGGCGTGGCGAGTGTGCGGCAACTTGGGGGCAGCCGTTTGCGGAGCCTCCTGGCCGCATTTTGCGGCTGTCGCCTTCTTGGCGGCGGGGTCGGTTCGTGTCGCACGAGCTGCCCTGGTTGTAAATAAAAAAAATGTGGCTCCAATCCTATGTGTGTTCGCACCTGTTCCTATAGATCGGGCCTTTCGTCGCAATGGCGTGGCTGGCTGCATCACGGTCCAGTCGCCGCGTGAGATTTTCCGGGCCAGCCAACGAAGCGCAAGGGTTTCGCACGGCGTTTGCATGAGCACCCTATATTCTTTGTCTCATCCTGCAGGGAGGGATCGCGTAACCATTTCAACACATTCACGCCCAATCACGCTCAGGCCACTGACGTGCAGATGCACCCATCCTGAGCTTACACATGCTCAGACTCATGCGCAGAGACGCACTCGTACTACTGAGACTCATTCACACTCCAACTTATTCACAGTTAGACTCGCTCCAAGTCCGTCAATACCCACGCGCGTTTATATTCGAGAACTCTTGCACCTAGACGTTCACGGCTGACAGGTCCATGCTAATTTATGCACATATGCTAATATATGCACATATGCACAGTTGGTTCCACATATTCTTTTTCCCTACCATCCTGTGGTGTTGGGTCCTCGTTTTGACGAGACGGTCCCCGCGTTCCTTTCCTTTTCTCCGCTTCTTCTCCTCCTCTCCCTCCTCCCCTCCCTCTCCTTCCATGCGTTTCACCCACCCAGCACAGCGTTTCGTGGCCCCATAGGGAGCTCCACCGAAGCCCCCAATGGTGCCGCCCGCATGCGTCCCCCACACCTAATTTGGCGTTTTCACCCACCCAGTACAGCGCTCCGTGGCCCCATAGGGAGCTCCACCGAAACCCCCAGTCGGACTGCCCGCAGGCGTCCTCCACGCCCAATTTGGCATTATCACCCACCCAGTACAGCGCTTCGTGACCCCATAGGAAGCTCCACCGAAGTCCCCAGTGGTACCGCCCACATGCGTCCCCCACATCAAATTTGGCATTTTCGCACCCAGTACAGCGTTTCGTGGCCCAGTAGGGAACCCCACCGAAGCCCCAGTGGGACCGCCCGCATGCGTCCCCCACACCCAACTTGGCAGTGTCACGCACCAAGTACAGCGCTTCGTGGCCCCATAAAGGGGGCCCCACCGAAGCCCCCAATGGTACCGCCCGCATGCGTCCCCCACACCCGATTTGGCATTGTCACCCACCCAGTACAGCGCTCCGTGGCCCCATAGGGAGCTCCACCGAAGCCTCCGCTGGGACCGCCCGCATGCGTCCCCCACACCAAAATTGGCATTTTCTCGGGCCCGGTACAGCGCTTCGTGGCCCCATAGGGAGCCCCACCGAACCCCCCAGTGGGGCCGCCCGCATGCGTCATCCACACTGAATTTGGCATTTCCACCCACACTTTACAACGCTTCGCGGCCCCATTGGGGAGCTCCACCGAAGCCCCCAATGGGACCGCCCGCATGCGTCCCACACGCCTAATTTGGTATTTTCATTCACCCATATGGAGCTCCACCGACGGCCCCAATGCCATCGCCCGCATGTGTTCCCCCCCGCCCAGCGCAGCGCTTCGTGGCCCCATAGGGAGCTCCACCGAAGAAGATATTCACAATTGCTGTACCCACAACTTCATATGGTTGGGTCTTTCGCCAGGATAATTTTCTAAACCGCCCTGTGGTGTTGGGTCCTGGTTTTGAAGAAACAGCGCCCCGCGTCACCTCTGCTGCCCCCCTCCATCCTGCCATCCCTGCCTCTGCTCTCCGCATACCCATCATGTCGGCATACCCCTCACACGTTGCGTGGCCCCAGGGGGTGCTCCACCGAATACCCCGGTGCCACCGCCCGCATGCGCCCCCCACACCCACCCATTTCGGCACACCCCTCACACGTTTCGTGACCCCATAGGGAGCTCCACCGAGGGCCCAGATGGCTGCGTTCGCATGCGGCCACCGCACTCATGTGGGCACACCCCCTCGCACGTTTCGTGGCTCCCGAGTGATATCTACCGAAGCCCCAGGTGCCAGCGGTCGCATGCGGCCACCGCACCCATGTGGGCACACCCCTCACGCGTTTGGTGGCCCCATAGGGAACTCCACCGAAGGCCTAGATGCCAGCGTTCGCATGCGGCCACCGCACCCATTCTGGCACACCCCTCACACGTTTCGTGGCCCCGCAAGGGAGGTCCAACGAATGCAGTGCATGCAACGACGGTGCCCACAATTGCATATGGTTGGGTCCTTCGCCCGTTTTTCTCTTACAACTATCTCTCTCTTTTTTCCTCTATCTCTCTCTTTCTCCCTCTCTTTCTCTCTCTCTCTCTCTTTCACTCTCGCCCTCTCTCTCTCTCTCTTTCTTTTTATCTCTCTATCTCTCTCTTTCTGTCCCCCTGGGGCCTCGGAGGTGTGCTGTTTGACAAAGGACAGCAGGATGGGCCCTTTTTGCATGCCTTCGCGCCTGGGCTGTGGGCTTCGGCTTCAACCGTGGGTGCAAATCGAAGCTCTTTCGGGACAGCTCACGGCGGGAGGCGGAGGAGGAGTTCCGACTTGGAGTAGCGGAGGCAGGAGGGCAGAAGTGCAGCCAACAATGACATAATCGTGCTGGTGATTGCTGCATGGGAATTCCAAACAGGGCCGCCTGCCGATCAAGGAAGCGGCAGTGGGTTTCCAGCAAAAGCGCCGGGTGAGGGACGCAGTGCCCGCGGTGGGGGTGGTGCTCCTGCGGATCAGGCATGGTATTCTTATTGCGACGCCAACCTGGGGGGCAAGTACGACCCCGCCCGTCACAGCGAGGAGCCTGCGCGGCTTTCCTCGAGTAGCCTGGCACCCATCGCCGCCTCCGTCGCCTCCGCGGAAAGCAGCTGTACGCCACCGTCCCTGGCCAGTGCCGTCCTGGGCCCCGGGATGGCGCGTAGAGTGTCCTCGTCGAGGCCAGCAGGCCGTTTTTCGACACATGCCTCGGAAGAAATGAGCGAATACTTTCCCACACTCATCCGTCAATGCCCCCCCAATGCTCAGAATTGGCGCCGTGTTGATGAGATGCATTTCGACCGCGGTCTTAACCTGCGAGTGTCATATTTGACTTTAGAGCGAGGAGGAAGAGGAGGACGGGGAGGAGGGGGAGGAGGAACAGGAGGGGGGGAGGCGGATGATGATGATGATGATGATGATGATGATGATGATGATGATGATGATGCTGATGCTGATGCTGATGATGATGATGATGTTGATGATGATGATGATGATGATGATGATGATGATGATGGTGGTGGTGGTGGTGGTGATGGTGATAATGATGATTATGATGATGATGACGATGATGATGCTGATGATGATGATGACGACGATGATGATGATGGTGATGACGATGCTGATGATGATGATGATGATGATGTTGATGCTGATGCTGATGCTGATGCTGATGATGATCATGATGCTGATGCTGATGCTGATGCTGATGCTGATGGTGATGATGATGGTGGTAATGATGGCGATGATGATGGATGGTGATGCGGATGATGATGCTGATGATTGTGATGATGATGGTGCTGCTGATGATGATGATGATGATGATGATGACCATGGTAATGATATGATGATGATTATGTTGGTGGTGGTGGTGATGGTGGTACTGCTGATGCTGATGGTGATGATGATGGTGATAATGATCATGCTGATGATGATGATGATGATGATGATGATGATGATGCAGATGCTGATTACGATGACTCTGGTGATGCTGACGCTGATGATGATGATGATGATGCTGATGCTGATGCTGCTGATGATGATGATGATGATGATGATGAGGATGCTGATGATGCTGATGATGGTGACGATGATGATGATGTTGATGATCCTGCTGCTGCTGATGGTTATGATGATGCTGGTGCTGACGCTGATGCTGATGCTGATGCGGTTGCTGCTGCTGATGATGCTGATGATGATGCTGATGATGATGCTGCTGATGATGACGAGGATGCTGATGCTGATGCTGCTGATGATGCTGCTGCTAATGATGATAATGATGACGTTGCTGATGATGCTGATCGTGATGTTGATGATGCTGATGATGATGATGCTGATTGTTATGATGATGCTGGTGATGACACTGATGATGATGGCGATGATGACGATTATGATGATGATGCTGATGATGATGCTGCTCATGATGATTATGATGATGATGGTGATGATATTGATGATGATGTTGATGACGGTAGTGATGATGAGGATGATGATGATGATGCTGATGCTGATGCTGATGCTGATGATGATGCTGATGCTGATGCTGATGATGATGCTGATGCTGATGATGCTGATGATTGTGATGATGATGGTGCCGCTGCTGATGATGATGATGCTGATGACGATGATGATGCTGATGCTGCTGCTGCTGATGATGATGCTGATGATGATGATGATGATGATGATGATGATGATGTTGATGTTGATGATGCTGCTGAGGATGCTGATGATGCTGCTGATGATGATGATGATGATGCTGCTGCTGCTGATGATGATGATGATGATGATGATGATGATGATGATGATGATGATGATGATGATGATGATGATGATGGTGGTGGTGGTGGTGGTGGTGGTGGTGATGGTGGTGGTGGTGGTGGTGGAGGAGCAGGAGAAGGCGGAGGAAGAGGAGGAGGAGGACGAG